CCCAAAAGAAAAAGGAGCAAACAAGCATGCCTTCATACGAGCTGCGCCGCATGTCTGCGCAGTGAAGATTGAACCAGTCAAGAGCAGAGGTGCCATAGGCACAATCAGAGAACACTGTATAAACATCAGGGGTCTGCGGTTGTTCAACGTCCTCCCAGCGACTATAAGAAATATTGCCGGAACAACCGTGGACATCTTCAAGAGAAAACTGGACGGTTTTCTAAGAGAAGTTCCAGATCAGCCGGGCTGTGGTGGGTACGTGGCCCGGCGGGCCGCTTCAAGCAACAGCCTGGTGGACCAAACTCTCACAAGTCAAGCCTGGCCTCAGGCCGGGCTTGGGGAGTAGAAGAACTCCCAGAACCCCATCAACCAGGTATCAACCAGGCAGCTCCCCCCCTCCCTGGGAAGGGAAAGGGGGAGCCCCAGACCCCTTGAGCCGACGATCCCCACCCCAGTTCTGAGGTGCGATATAAAAAAAATGTGAAAAAACGGCGACCAGGAGGGAGGGACGGTTGCAGGAGAGCCTCCGGGACTCAACTAGAAAATGGTGTTTCATTATATTCAACGCTGGCTTTCTAGGGGAAGCCCCTACGGCTCCCCGGAGCTACTTCACCAAAGACAATAGAAAAATAGGGGACTTACCCGGGAGGCGGTTGGTGCTCCACTCCTCAACTCCAAGTCGAGACAACGGGCTGCAACTGCCATCCCAAAGCAACACAGGCTCGACTGAGCCCAGGAACGATCATGAGGTAGTGTGAAACCAGGACCCTGTTCGACCGCCAAAAACCCCGTGCCCTAATGTCAGCCCAAGACATATTGCCAAAGACGGAGCAAGAGCAGCAAACTTACGAATGTCATGGGCACGGGGATAGATCGCAGGCTGGCTAGATTTAATTACCCTGCGGACAACCTGAGAGACCCGAACCCGCGAGCAGGGAAGAAAGGAAACCAGATCAACCCAAAGTGCGTCCCCAGACACAGAAGCCTTGGCGCACAGATAACGGTGGAGGGCCGCAGACACAACACATGATGAACCCCCAGCCTGACAAAACAAGCATCAACAACCCAAGGACCCCTCCGGAAGGCACCAGTCTCATTCTTCTATCTTCAGAAGAATGCCTCATTCTTCATTCTTCATTCTTCTCATTCGTCAGCCGAGACGAATGATTCTGGCAGAGCCAACTGAATGAGTCGGCGTCGACCGTCCATTCTGTGGACAGGGGAATGAACTGGGACAGGCCATCAGCCAGGACGTTGGATACCCCCCCAACGTGAACCGCCAGGAGAGTCAAACCCCGAGAACTCAGCAAACGAGTCACCCGAAGCAACCAACCCCAAAAAGCCAAGGATCACATCGAACCCCCTCAGTTCAGACAATGAACCACCTGGGAGCAGTCCGAATGGAGCCAGATTGTTGATCCACGGGCAAACCCGAACCCTCCGTTGAAAACAATGAACAGCACTAAGAGAAGACTGGAGCTGGAGCTACATAACTGTGCACGATCCCATCAGAAGAGGAACTGTTGTGGGGATTGCCGGCGCGGGGGTCTGGGGCTCCCCCTTCCCCCTCCCGGGGAGGGGAGAGCTGCGCAGACATGCGGCGCGACTCGTGTGATGTCATGCTTGTTTGCCCATTTTTTTTTGGAGGGGGGGGGGGGGGGGGGGAGTTCTGTCCACTTGTTTGGCGATTTTCGTTGTTAGCCAGAATAGGGGTTTGTTTTGTGGAACTTACCTTTCTGGGTGCCTTTCCCAGTCGATGGCAGATATAGAATGCTCCAAATCACATGTGCATTTGTTTGGGCCATTGCTCCTTGTGCCTCTGTGAGGGGGGCCAGGTTCTGGCTCGTGGTCCCTGGTAGGCCTAGAACTCCAGCCACATCGACTGATGCAAAATAGTTAGGGGTATCCATATCAGCCATGGATAGGTCCGGGAAGCCGCAGGGGCTCCCCCCAGAAAAGTGCTGGACCAATCAAGCTGTGGTGGGTATGTGGGCCTGCGAGTCGCTTCAAGCAACAGCCTGGTGGACCAAGCTCTCATAAGACAAGCCTGGACTTGGGCAGGGCTTGGAGAGTAGAACTCCCAGAAATCCATGAAGCAGGTATCAAGCAAGTAACTAACTGCAACCGCCGACCAATGCAACACATGCCTTACCAGGTCCAGGGACACTGACAAGGTAGCGTGCGGCCAAAATCCTGCTCGACCTCCAAAGACCCCGTGCCCGAATGTCAACCCAGGACATGTTGCCAAAGACGGCAGCCAAAGCAGCAAACTTATGAACGTCGTGGGCACAGGGATAAACCGCAGGCTGGCTAGACTTAATAACGCTACAGACGACCTGAGAGACCCGAGCCCGGGAACAGGGAAGGAGGGAAATTCCCGTCAACCCAAAGCGCATCCCTAGCCACCAAAGCCGTGGTGTGCAAATAACGGCAGAGAGTCATAACCGGACACAGCTCATGATGCACCCCCGGCCTGACCAACCAAGCATCAACATCCCAAGGACCTACCGGAAAGTAGCAGTCTCATTCTTTGCCAGAAAAGGAGACGGCTGTAATCAGACAAATCTACCACCAGGACCAAAGGAGCAGAAGCCCCTGTGCTGGAGGAGAGCATGAAGCTCCCCGACCCAACCCCCCCAAGGCCAATGCCAACAGGAAAAAGAGTCTTGGAAAAACAATCCTGGACCGAAGGGGCCACAACAAACCGAGAAGGGAGAAAAGAGAGCACTTGGTTCAAAGACCAGGACGGCTCAGGGGGTGTATAAACAGGCCATAGGTGAAACAAAGCATGAGACAGCTTGTGGAATGAGGCAGAAGTAACATCAACACCAAATGCAAGCTGAAGCGGCTGCGCCAGCGCTACATGATACGAGAAGACAGTATTCGGCAAAAGATGACGGTCCTGGAACAACCACAAAAGGAAGGACAAAACAACCCTATCAGAGACCAAACGACACCTACACAGTGATAGGAAAAACTGGAAGAACCACCAGGAAACTTCATACTGCCGCATATACGAAGCACACAGGTGGGAGACCAATAAAGAAGCCACCTGTGCCCCATACAAGTTATGATCGACTTAAGTCAGAAACTCCAGATGTGAAGATTCAAAGAGAAGAATGAATCAGGTTCGTACCGGGCTGGACCGATCTGCTGAAAAAGGTGGAGCGACGGGAAGACCCTCAGGTTCGGACACCCAGCAAGCAGTGCCTGAAACCAAAGCTGGGCCGGCCACCAAGGCGCCAGAGGGACAACTCTCCCTTGGTAAGTCTCCAAGCGAGCTAGGACTGGGAGCAACAGCTGAACTGAGGAAAAGAGGTACAGGTAACCCCACCTCGCCCAGTCCTGCCTGAAGGCGTCGACCCCGATGGCCTCACAGTCGGGGAAGGGCGCCAAGAATACCAGGAGACACTTCCCATGTCCGGGGTTCCTATAACCAAAATGGGGCAGCCTCAGGGCATCCGGGGAAGCAATGAATCCATCGCGTTGCAGCAACCTAAATCAGGCATGCAACGCCTCTGCCGCCTGCATCCTCATATCATGTACAGTTGCTTGGGTGACCTGGAGCACGTACAAGGAACAAAAGTCGCACAACTCCGGGTCAAACGAATCACCGACCCGACAGGCAGCATGGGGGAGGCACCTGTGATTGTCATCCCGAGACAAGGGGACAGAGTTGACCAGACCACACACTAGAAGGTGAAGGGACGACGACGTTTCGGTCCGTCCTGGACCATTCTCAAGTCGATTGTCACAATCAACTTGAGAATGGTCCAGGACGGACCGAAACGTCGTCGTCCCTTCACCTTCTAGTGTGTGGTCTGGTCAACATACTTTAGCCATGTTATTGTGACTCATCGCCTGCATTAGGGGACAGAGCAACCATCAACCTCGCACGAAACGAGAGAGGACTCAAGGGTCGCATCCAGCCGACCATGAAGTCCCCGTGGGGTTTCCCAGGGCCTTAGTGTCACTCTAAGGAAAGCCCAGGCAGGGTACTGCAAACCGGTGCCCAAAACTACCAAGCAATCTTCTAAAGCTGAACCCCCGGGACATGTCCACTCATAGGGGCCAAGCAGGGAGGGGGGTACCACCATAAACATTGAGATGTCTAGCAAAAGACCCCCAAGTATAGATAGAGGGCAACCAACCAAAGGCAGACCTTCCTGCCAAGCAGGGGAAACAAAAACAAAAGATAAACCCTGCAAGAGGACAACGTACCCAGGCAGAACAGACCCGGCCGCTACATTAGGTGAAAACTAGCTGTGCAGTAGCCTGCACCCCCTACCAGTGACAAAAACTACCTCCTACCCAGAGGCAAACAAGGGCAACAAAAACCCCAGCTGACTCCAAGGGCAGCCAAGTACCGAGCAGTAAAAGACACAGCAGAGGTAGGCCCAAGGTGACTTGTGGAAGGAGGCCCCAAGCCCCAAGGGCAGTACTTACCAGACTCCTAGAGAAGAAAACCCCTAGGCGCATGCAGCCCGAGTACCGTGGAATATTACTCCTGGCTCTCACACCACCTGTAGAGAAAGCCCACACCACAAGTCACAGAACTGAAAACAGAAACTAGAGCCAGAGGTACCCGATCAGCCAGTATCACATCAGCCAAGAACTGCCGGTTTGATCGCTAACGCGAGGGTCTGGGACTCCCCCTTTCCCCTCCCGGGAAGGGAGGGGTATTGTGCAGACAGCGGCGCGGCAAAAACTTGATATCATGGTCGTTTGCTAATTTTCGTTGGGGAGTTCTGTCCACTCGTTTGGCTTTCGGTAACAATATTTTCACTAGAATAGGGGTTTGTTTTGGGGTGCCCACCTTTCTGGGTGCCAGACCCGGTCGATGACAGACATAGAATGCTCCTAACCACACGGGGTTTCTATAGGCCATTGCTCCTCGCGCCTCTCTGAGAGGGGCCAGGTTCTGGCTTGTGGTCTTCGTAGGCAAGAACTCCAAGCACTTTGACTGGTGCCAGAAAGCTAATAGTTAGATATCAGCCTGGATAGCTCCGGGGAGCCGAAGGGGCTCCCCCAGAAAACAAACTTAAATATTATTAGGCCTATTATAGCATATACAGTATATGTACTATATTAGGCCTCAGAAAACATGCATTAGGCCTAGAAGGATTAGGTTAAGTTTTCCTTGCAACCTCAGTACGAAAATTTTTGCAGTTTGTCCAAATTCAATAGTACCGATTTTTACTTTCTAATTGCCTTGTATGTTAATATATGTACGATAATCCTCACTGTTACTTTAAGTAGTACCTGAAGAGGAGGATGGGTTGTACTATTCCATCATACCAACTATAATAATTTCTGTATACCAGATGTTCTTGGTTCTCATTTTTTACTGGTGAGATTATATTCATCTCATTCTTTACACTACTATACACAGCACTTTAATTTCTCTCTCTCTCTCTCTCTTCTGTCATTACATGCAGGCACTTTGAACTGTGACACTAAGTCAGTCATTGTCCCATACTATACTTAATTTATTTCCAGACTTAAATCTGTCTTACTCTCTCTTCTTTTCTACTTTCACTCATACATTTACTTAATGTCATTCTAACCTTTAAATTTCTTTCAGCTTTGTTTTACACAGACATGTCACATCAAGCTTTCCATCCTTAATTAAAAGCTTTCACCACATTGCCACATAAACCTACCTTGGATTCCTGGGGCCTGGGGAGGTGTAGACTGGACCAGGGGAGAATCGTGCACTTTGTGGAGAAGAATGTGAGAGGTGTAGAGCAGAGTGCACCACACACTAAATACTTGTGTCATTCAACTATGCTAAGCACAGCAATCTGGCATTTAACATTTACACCTATTTTAGTAAATCATTTAACAAACATTTCTTGTACTTAATCATAAAAGAATTTTTACAAGTAGCAAGCCTTCGAACAGCAATTCCCCAGACAGATGAGAACTATAAACCATTAGATGAAATTTGCAAGAGTACAAAATAAAATAAAATGCATGAAAACTGTTGACATGAATGACAATTAAAATTTCAATCAACATAATTTGAGCTGTTAAGATAGAGCACTTGGTCTCAACAGGAATGCAATATTGCCCCCTGTGGCATACACTTGAAATAGTTCCAGGTCATAGATTAGACAAACACACATGGATTTCATTGTCAACTGAAAGGAGATGATATCTGCCTTTGACTTTGATGCTGGTTAAATGAGAAAAATTAAACACAAAAATACATTTACATATGATTAGAATTAGCATATTTATCACTACCTCTTGCAGAACCCTTAGTTACCTAGGGGTTCCGCTGAGCCAAGTTTGAGAAACGATGGATAGAGAAAACGCATAATAACACAATTACTCAATTTGGATAAATTATTGTCTGACAAACTAAAGAACAACTTGGTCAATCATAAGCTATATATATGGAAGTTTTTTTTCTCTTAGCCAATGCATGCATACAGAATGAGTTGCATCTGACCACAAATGCTAGAATAAAGAGAATACCCATAATTTCACTGAAATTTGATAAAATGTTTTCAGGTGCATTCAACAATGTTTTTCTCATCATGAACTTTCATGTGCTTCAATAGGCAAGAATTTTCTGTAAATGATTTTAGACATACTGTACAGTGATAAGGCTTCTCTCCAGTATGACCTCTAATGTGATTTGCTAGAGATGATTCATCCTCAAAATCTTCATGACACTCTACACACTGATGTATAGTATTCACTGAATGAGTTTTCATATGTTTTACTACAGTTTGTTGATCTGTGACATCTTCACAAATCTCTGAGCTCTCATGTGGTTTATCACCTGCATGAACTCTCATATGTTTAACTAGACATGATTTATCAGTAAATTCTTCAAGACAGTCTGAACACTGATGTGGATTATCATTTTTATGATTTCGCATATGTTTAACTAGAGATGATTCAAATATGAAGTCTTCAAGACACACTGAACACTGATGTGGTTTATGTCCGGTATGAGCTCGCATGTGTTCAATTAGAGATGACTCTTCCATGAAGATTTCAAGACACATGGTACATTGATGTGGTTTAACCTCAGTATGAATATTCATATGTTTAACTAGTGATGATTCATCTAAGAATTCTTCAAGACATTCTGAACACAGATGAGGTTTATCCCCTGAATGAGTTTTCATATGTTTAAGTAGAGATGATTCATCCATAAAGTCTTCAAGACATTCTGAACACTGACGTGGTTTATCATTTTTATGACTTCGCATATGTTTAACTAGAGATGATTCAAACATGAAGTCTTCAAGACACACTGAACACTGATGTGGTTTATATCCAGTATGAGCTCGCATGTGTTCAATTAGAGACGACTCGTCCATGAAGATTTCAAGACACACTGTACATTGATGTGGTTTAACCTCTGAATGAGATTTCATGTGGTTAACTAAAGATGATTCATCTATGAAGCCTTCAACACACTCCAAACATTGAAGTTGTTTATTCCTTTTATGAACTCTCATATGTATATCTAACAATGAGTTATCTCCGAAGTCTTCAAGACACTCTGAACACTGATGTGGTCTATCCTCCGAATGAGTTCTCATGTGCATTATAAGTGATGTTTTTTCTGAGAAGTATGTAAGACACTCTGTACACTGATACTGTCTGTCCTCAGTATGAACTTTCAGATGCATTTCAAGAGCTGATTTTTGCAAAAAGGTTTGGTGACACATTGAACATTTATATTTGTTATCAGTTGTGTGAATTTTCAAATGTTGCACTAGTTGAGATTTTTGGTTAAAATTTTTAGGACATAAGGAGCACTGAAATGGTCTCTTTCCTGTATGAAGTCTCATGTGTTTAACAAGATTTGATTTTACGGAGAAATCTTTTTGACACTCTGAACAACGGTATGGTTTCTCTCCTGTATGAACTCTCATATGCTGTATTAGAGCAGAATTTTGTGAAAAATCTTTAAAACACACTGAACACTGAAGCGGCTGTTTTCCTGCATGACCTCTCATGTGTGTTGCAAGTGCAGATTGTGTGTCAAAGTCTTTTAGACATACTGTACACTGATTTGGTTTGTCTTCATCATGAACTTTCATATGTTTTACAAGGTTTGATTTTATTGCAAAGTTTCTTTGACACTCCGAACACTGATATGGCTTTTCACCTGTATGAATTCTATTGTGTTTCACAAGAGATGACTTTTCAGAGAAGTCTTTAAAACACTCTGTACACCGATATGGTTTCTCTCCTGTATGAACTCTCATATGTTTCACTAGAGATGAATTTACTTTAAACTCTTTTAGACACACCGAACACTGAAATGGTTTCTCTCCCGTATGAATTCGCATATGTTTTACTAGAGATGACTTGCCAGAGTAGCATCTCAGACACACTGTACATTGAAATGGTTTCTCTCCTGTATGAACTCTCATATGTTGTACTAGAGCAGAATTGACTGCAAAAACTTTTAGACACTCTGAACACTGATACGGTTTCTCGCCTGTATGAACTCTCAAGTGCTTTACTAGAGATGATCTGATTGAAAAGGTTTTTGGACACACTGAACACAAATATGGTTTCTCTCCAGTATGGACTCTCATATGTTGAACTAGAGCTGATTTTACTTTAAAGTCTTTGAAACATTCTGTACAACGGTGAGGTTTTTTCCTGTATGAACTTAAAGATGTCTTACTAGATGTGATTTTAGAGGGAGGACTTTCAGAATCACTGATTACAGACATGGCTTCTGCTCTGTGACAGCTCTCATGTAATAATTTGCTAAATTATCTAAAAACTTAATACACTGACCACCAATGCAGCTTTTCTGTATGAACTTTAATATAGCATTAGAATGTAAGATTTTGGTGACTTTTTATAGAGACTTCAATACAATTTCATATCTCATTTGTTCCCAAGACGACGAGAAGCCCAATAATTGTACCTTACACAAGTAGCCCGGTGGATGTCAAGAGTAGACTTTCATTCATGACTGAAAAATAAAAAAAAAAAGATTTATGAGAATTAACTAAATACTGGCTTCATTCCTTTATAAACAATAAGAATAAGTGCAATATAAAAAGCTGATGCAGGAAATTCTTTGGGGGACTACTTGAACACACACAAATATTCTCCACAACACAATTTAAAATGCAACAGCAAAGTTAAACATGTACTGTATAAGGCTAATTCATGATGCAAAAACCATGATAATTTTCCTCATTATAATTATATCATGTAATCATTATAATTATATACTGTATAATCTAAGAATTAGGTTTAGATTTACAAGCTATATTTGCCAGTGACTTTAAAACATTAATACAGCTCTGGCTGTTTAGTGTCAACGTATTGTCAGCTCCATGTCACAAGTTGTTCCTGGCATTATTTCACCTCTGGCTTGTTCATGCTCCTCCTGGGCCAGCTTGGTCCTTGGACTAGGTTTTGTCTTTCCTCTCATTTCATCAGTTTTCAGAATTGTTGCTAGGCTACAATTCTGAAGCCTAGCCTACAGGGCCTTAACCCCTCCCCCCCCTTCCCCGCAAGCTGCTAAGGGCTATTTGGCCTTTGTCACCCACAAGCGCATAAAAAAACTTATAAACCCGTTAATTTGCGTTCCCTGATCACGGGAAAAATAACAAAAAAATTGTAACTGGCATATTTTGGCCGCAATAGGGCAGGGAAGTCTAGCAAAAAGACGCGCTGACTCAGCAAGCATCGGGGAAGTTCTGCTTCGTCCCAGCTGTCAGGCAGGAGTTGCCACAAAGATATAATTACCTAATTATTTCAATGTTGCCGATTGATTTTTTCTTTGTTTTTTGCAGTAATATTATTCAATAGTGTGTAGTGTGATATATTTATATAATAAAATGTGTGAATCATCGCTGTACTCAAAATTATGGTGTGCATATTATTGATTCAATTATTGTGTTCATAAAACAATAAACAAATACTTTTGCAGTTATTAAACTATATACACAGGTTATATATAAGTATCTGCATGTTTTGTTCACCATAACGAACCACTAAGTTGATATTGTGAGCCAAAAAGCAACGAGGACCACTCGTTGCTTTTTGCCACCACATCACCACTCCCTCCCTCAAAAACTCCTCAGTCGCCTACATTCTCCCACCATACTGTTTTTGCTTTTATTCACTACATACAGACGTTATATATAATTATCTACATATTTTGTTCACCATAACTGTTCATCTAAGCTGGCAAAGTGCACAAAGAGCATAGTGGCCACCCTTACACAGCATGACAAGTCAGGAAGATGATGCCACCTCCCTCACCAAAATGGCTTCTCCTAACACTTCTTTTGATGTTATTACACTATATATATGCATGTTATATGTAAGTATCTATGCACTGACTTGCTTAAACCACAAGTGAAGTTTAACAAACTTTAGACAACACTCACCAGTGGGCCTCAATCTCAGAAAGCACAACTACCTTCCAGTAGCTGCCATAACTAGTATGCCTTAGTCCACTACACCAACATCAGACCTTTAAAAGAGATAGAGATTTTGAGGTATTTACCCCAAATTTCTCTATCTCCCAGTCAGAGGTCAACAAAAAACCAGCGTTGAATGTAATGAAACACCATTTTCTGGGTGAGCCCCGGAGGCCCCCTTGAGCTATCTTACTTATATATGCTATATTCATCTGGGGCGTCAGTCAATGGAGTTCTGCCTACCAGGTACCACGAGCCAGAACCTGGCCCTCTTAGAGGGGCACAGGGAGCAATGGCCCAAGAAAAAACACCTTGTATTTGGGGATTACCCCATATCTGCCATCGACCGGCGTTTGGCACCCAGAAAGGTAGGCATCTCAAAACAAACCCCAATTGGTAGGAAATTGTTAAAAACATGAAGACCAAACAGATAAACAGAACTCCCCAAAGGAAAAAAACAAGCAAACAACAAAAACGTCATCCAATGCCACCTAGCCGCTTGTCTGCCCAGCTCTTCCTCCCTCTTAGGAGGGGGGTGTTGGAAATTTCCAACCCCCAAATACTAACCCTTAGTGCAATAATATAACTTATTATACTAGGAATTCATATTTACTAATATTACTAATAAGTAGCCATATATAGTAAATTCTTACTAATATTGGGGGGCCCAGTATTGAGTCAATCCCCCAGTTCCCTCGAGAATAAATTATATAGTAGAACCTCGAGTGATGACCGCCTCAAATGGCGACCATTTTGGGTAACGAACGCCCCAATCGCCGACAATTTGTCTTGTTAGGCGACCAATCGTTTGAATAGCGTCAACACCACATGGTGAGGTCAGGGGCTGCTGCTCCCACATTCTCGGGTGCCTCCGACGATGCAAATAATTTTTTTTTTTTAAAGATGCTAATGATGCTGGGATGTAAAGGGGTGACTGATGTAATGTTGCAAAGCATTGGCTTTTTTTGTAAAAAAAAAAAAAAAAAAAAAAGTTTGTTCGGTGTTTGTCAGGTAGGCTGCTCCATGTTTCTTAAAAAAAAAAAAACATGAAAAATTTTGAAAAACAGAACAACTGTCAAAAAGGTTCATTCGGTGTTCGGCAGGAAGGCTGCTCCATGTTTCTAAAAAAAAAAAAAAAAAAAAAAAAAAAATTGAAACAATTTGACAAACGAACAAATGCCACATAGGTTCGTTCAGTGTTTGTAAAGTAGGCAGCTCCATTATTGAGAAATAAATGAAAAATACAAAACAAATGGAACACATTTGAAACAAAGATAGATTGTCATAATGGACAGCCTACCCAACAAACACTGAACTAACCTTTATGGCATTTGTCTGTTTTTCAAATTGTTTCAACTGTTTTTTTTTTTAAAGAAACATGGAGCAGCCTACCTGCCGAACACCAAACAAATTTTTTTGTTATTTGTTCTGTTTTTTTATTTTTTTTTTTTCAAGAAACATGGAGCAGCCTACCTGACAAACACCAAACGGACCTTTTGCTATAAAAAAATATGAAAAAAAAAACAGCATTGAATGTAATGCAACGCCAATTTCTGGGTGAGACCCGGAGGCTCCCTGGAGCTTACTAGGCTGATATGCTAATGTCATGTGATACTTTGGCATCAGTCATGTGTATGGAGTTCTGTGGGCCTATTGGGGACTACGAGCCAGAACCTGACCTCCCTCACAGAGGTGGGGGGGGGGGGGGGTGAGGGGGAGCAATGGCTTATATGTGGTTGGAAGCATTCTATGTCTGTCATCGACCGAGTCAGGCACCCAAAGATGGGAAGCATCCCAAAATAAACCCCTATTCTGGTGAAATTATTGCTACCAAAAGCCGAACAAGTGGATAAAACTCCCCTAAAATAAACGAGCAAACAATCATGACGTCACATGACGCAGTGCCGCTGTCTGCACAGCTCCCCCCTCCCCAGGAGGGGAAAGGGGGAGCCCCAGACCCCTCATGTCTGGGGATGCCGGGGAGCCTCCGGGTCTCACCCAAAAAATGGTGTTTCATTACATTCAATGCTGGTTTTCTGGGGACCCACAGAGGAAGAACGTAGGGACTTACCCGGGAGGCCGTCGTTGCTCACTCCACAACTCAAAGCCGCAACAAATGGCTGCAACCGCCGACCCAAAACAACAGGCCCGACTCGGCCTAGGGACGTGCATGAGGTAACAAGCAGCCAGGACCCTGTTCGACCGTCAAAAGCCCCGTGCCCAAATGTCAGCCCAGGACATGGTGCCAAAGATGGCAGCAAGTGCAGTGAACATACGAGTGTCATGGGCACGGGGATAGACAGCAAGTTGGCTAGCCTTAGGAACTCTGCAGATGATCTGGGAGACTTGCACTCACAAACAGGGAAGAAAGGGAAACCTGATCAACCCAAAGCGCGTCCCCAGACACAGAGGCTGAGGCGCGCAAGTAACGGCAAAGAGTTGCCTACGTACACAAAACATGATGCACCCCCGGCCCAACCAACCAAGCATCAACAGCCCAGGGACCCTTCTGGAAAGCAGCAGTCTCAATCTTCGCCAGAAAAGGAGAAAACGGCTACAGACGAACAAAACTATCACGAAGAGCGAAAGAGCAGAAACCCCTGCGCCGGAGGAGAGCATGAAGCTCCTCAACCCGACCTCCAGAGGCTAATGCCAACAGAAAAGGAGCCTTGGAGAACAATCCTGAACCGAAGGGGCCAAAACAAACCGAGGAGAAGAAAGAAAAAGAGTACAGTACTCTGTCCAATGACCAGGACGGCTCAGGCAGCGCAAGAGCAGGCCGGAGGTGAAACAATGCATGAGACAGCTTGCGAAACGGCGCACAAGTAATATAAAAACCGAAAGCAAGCCGACGTGGCTCCGCCAGCACCGCACGATACGAGGTGACAGTATGGGGCAAGATGACGGCCCCAAACCTCCACAACAAAAGGACAAGGCCACGCCAACAAACGCAGTTACCAAAGAGGGGACAGAAGGAAATGGGAGGACCGCCAAAAGACCCACACTGCCGCCAAGAAGAAACACGCAGGTGGGACACCATCAACGAAGCCACCCAACCACCAACAGAAGGTGAGAGACTCAAGGCAGAACCGAACCGGCCCCCCATGGGCCAATCGAGTCTAGGAAAAGGCAGAGCCGCGGGAAGATCTCGGGTGCGACCACGGAGCCAGTAAAGCCAGAAACCCAAGCCGGCAAAGGAGGAGATGGAACATCCTTCGTACAGAAAACATACCAACTCCCACAAGCCCGCCAGGAGATTGGAGACGACAGTCCCGAAGCGCGATTCTAGAAAAGGGAAACCGAGAGAATGTGAAAACACCAACAGACTGGGTAAGCCAGGTAATCAGGAACCAAAACCTGGCAATAGGTGAGCCAAAAGGCACAAACAAAACACACAATCATGTACTCACCTAATTGTGCTTGTGGGGGGTTGAGCATTGGCTCTTTGGTCCCACCTCTCAACTGTCAATCAACTGGTGTACAGATTCCTGAGCCTACTGGGCTCTATCATATTTACATTTGAAACTGTGTATGG